AGTAGCAGGAAAATGATACCTAAATCATTAGATGCAGAAAGAGTGAAAGAACAGAAACACCCTTGAAGAATTATAAAAAAATAAACATTGTGGAGGAAAGGAAATGACAAAAAGCTGTTTTCAGAGAAGAAAAGAAGCTTTGAAACTTTGAAAGCTGCTTTTTTTCCCAACTCTTCTAACCCAAAAAGCTCGTCTGACTTTAACTTGAGAACAACAAAGTCATTTTTAAAGCTGGCTGCAGGTAACGAGGATGTGAAACAGCAACAGTTGAAGACGACGAACAACCGGAGAGGAACAAAAAACACACTGGGGTGTGGGTGTGTGTGTGTGTGTGTGTGGGGGGGGGGGGCTGCTCACCCCCTCCACACACACTAATCATCCTATTTCAATGGCAAACACACGCAGTTTTGCAGGAGCGAACACACACTTTGACTGCACGCTGGCAGCAACTATACCTCGCACACGCAGAGTCTGTAAGACAGACTCACAAAGGAGGCAGTTCTGTGTTAATTCAAAGGCTGCCTTGATACGCCGAAGGAGCAGCGACTCCTATTGTGTGTGTGTGTGTGTGTGTGTGTGTGTGTGTGTGAGCACTTGTTCATGAATCATTCTCACAGAAGAATTCATCACTCTCTGACAGAGAAGGTGGTGAAATTATCCTCAACTCTGTTCGTACCAGAGACAGAGACATTTTTACCACTTTTTTTTAGGTGTTTAGGTTCTAAGACGACCCGATATCTGAATTTATGTGCAGATATGGACGACGACACCAGAACCCTGGTCCTGTTTGGTAACTAAACTAATGATGCGACAAGCTTTTGGCTGTGGATTTTTCATTTCAAGATAAAATCACTAAAATACTATCAGTGACAAAAAGTTGACTGTTGAGTCCTGATTGGTCGACGAATCGACGATTTCAGTCGGATATTTAACACATGAATGAGAAAGGGCTGCCCCACATATCGAAGTTTTTCTGGCCCACACAGTGCACTAACACTCGGCCCAAATACCACAAAAAATGACGGCCCTGGCCTGCAGTGGCCCAGGTGTGGTTTGACAGAGGTGGGTCATGAATGGGCCATAACAGGTTAAACCAAACCAACCAGACCATTTTTGGTAGTGACAGAGTTTGGCCACATAAATCAAATCACAACTGGACCAGCTGTGGCATRCCATCTTAAAATCAATAACATCCCTGCCAGATCYTGGCCCTCACCTGTCTGCTAYGTGGGTGAGACCATTATTAGATTTGCAATTTTATATTCGTTTTGTCACTTTTAATACAAATGACATGAAATTCCTTCACAAATTTAAATGACTGTCGCAGACTGTTTTCACTGATGGTAACTTTTAGAATCAACCCAATGCAAGATGGCCGCCACAAAAAAAAAAAAGCCACTGATGATGCAGAAATTAAGAAACTAACATTCAGTTTTGTTTTCTACTGAAGTGGCTAAAAAAAGATGGCTGCCACAAAAAAAAAAAAGCCACTGATGATGCAGAAATTAAGAAACTAACATTCAGTTTTGTTTTCTACTGAAGTGGCTAAAAAAAGATGGCTGCCACAAAAAAAAAAAAGCCACTGATGATGCAGAAATTAAGAAACTAACATTCAGTTTTGTTTTCTACTGAAGTGGCTAAAAAAAGATGGCTGCCACAAAAAAAAAAAAGCCACTGATGATGCAGAAATTAAGAAACTAACATTCAGTTTTGTTTTCTACTGAAGTGGCTAAAAAAAGATGGCTGCCACAAAAAAAAAAAAGCCACTGATGATGCAGAAATTAAGAAAC